AAGGAGAGTAAGGGTCCAAATAAAATTAGTAAGGAAGCTGCAACTAAAAGTTATATGTGTAATGAGGGCAATGAAAGAGACTCAAAGAAAGGTAAGGGTCCTATAACTGAGCTCCTAGATGAAAGGGTTTTTTAGATGGAAGATTTTGATCCAACTTTTGGAGTAAATGTGGGTTCTTACCAAGCTACGGTGAGGGTAAAACAGTGGATGGGGGTAAAGAAGTGGATGAAAATGATATGAGTGATGGTAGTGAAGATGATAACTTTACTCTTGATGCAAATGATATTCTGGATGAAGTAGATGTAGACATGAGTGAGTAGAATCAGGGTTGTTCGTTTAGGAGACATTTCAGGAAAACTGATGAAAAATGTCCTTGGGTTATGCTCATATCCAAAGGTAAACATGAAAGTACATGAATGGTAAAAACCCGTAAGGACACACATGCTTGTATTGAAACCATATTTGTAAGGGCTTGCACAACTACTTTATTCTCCCAAGAGTTGACATAAACCCTACTGCATAACCTAGACATGCATGTTAGATCAATTGAATTGAGATGCAAAATAAATATTAGACGAAGTTTTAAGGGATGAAAGATTTTCGGGCAAAGGCATTGGCGAGGGGGTCGAAGACCAAGAAGTAAGTTACTTATACCAAGCATTCTTCTTACGGCACTTCAAAAGCTACATGGTGATTATAATAGAGCAATATACAGTGTTGAGAGACTACCTTGAGAAACTTCAAAGAACAAATGAAAGTACTACTGTGAAGTTAGCAGTTGAAGTTGACCTGAATCTAGCTATAGATACAAGAAGTTTTAAGAGGTTATATGTCTGCATAGGGGCCTTAAAGAAAGGGTTTAGAGTAGGATTGAGGGATTCTTGGTCTCGATGGATGCTTCAAGAAGGGACCCTTTCTTGGTCAAATTTTAACAGCAGTAGGATTGATGGTAACATTAGTACTTATCTACTTTTGTATGTCATTGTTGGGGCTGAAACAATATCATCATGGACATGGTTTCTAGAGTGTCTTAGAGATGATCTGGACGTGTTCACAAATTCTAGCTTCACTTTCATTGTTGATAGACAAAAGATATTCTTAATTCTTTGCTTATTTGCTTGATTCATGTTATCTAATTCCAACCGCTAATTATATGCTTATTTACTTGATTCATGTTATCAAATGTAGGGAATAATACATGCAATTGCAAAAGTATTCCCCTATGTAGAACATAGATATTGTGTACAACATATCCATGAAAATATAAGGTTGTTTGGAAAGGTAAACAATACAAAGACATATTATGGAAGTGTGCAACTACATCTACTATCCAACAGTATGATAGTGAGATTGACAAGATTAAAAAGCTTAATCCAACATGTTATGAAATGGCTTAGAAAATACTACCATATCACAGGACCAGGTCTCATTTCATAGGTAATATGTCTTTCATATATTTACAGAAGTAGGCTTTCAATATACTAGCTAATTGGTGTTTATATGCTTATAGGAAAAAGTTACACTTGTTTTGTTGAACAAAATATGTGTGTTATTCAACAAGCAACTATTGGATGAGAGATACAAACGTATATGCTCAACATTGGAGTATATACATGTTACTTGATGAAGAAAATAGAGAATGTACAGAAGGTAATGGAGAAGGTTGTTGGACTTCTAACACCAACAACAATCAAAATGTTGGAAGCAATTAAGAAAGAAGCTCTGGATTACAATATAGTTTAGAATGGAGTCTGCAAATGCCAAGTTAATGGTCCATGGATAGACTGGTGTGACGTAGATGTTAAAGAAAAAACATGTTCTTGCAAGCATTAGGAATTTACTCAAATCCATGCAAACATGTTATGGCTACCATATGGGAAATGGCAAAACAATATATGGAAAAGATGTTATTCCTGAAACATAGGTTCACCCATCATATTTCTTGAAAACATGGATGGAGATGCACTCTTTCAAGGTTCAACCTTGGATGGTCACACAATAGCTTTTTGGTAGGAACATATACTAGGTGCCTTATTTGGAAAAGCTTACTTGATGGTTGTTTTATGGTACAAAATACTTGATGAATGTTCTTTTGGTATAAAATATGATATGATGGTTGTATGGCATGACCTTGAATTGTAGTTAAAACGGTATGTCAATGAAATGGTTCAATTTAAGTTATTATGTTTGCCATTTATTGGTTTGTAGTTAAATTGGTATTTGATGGTTTCTTGCAATTAATTGGTTTGTATTTGTTTGCATTTACCCAAGATGAAAAGGTAAAATCCAACAGAAAACTACAATCACAATGAAAGTCAAAGATGAAGGTAAAATTATGTTTATTAACCAATACAAAAGCAAATAGTACATGTTAGTTACAAAAGATTGATCATGTGATGCCATTAATAGCGTAAATCAAAATATAGTTACTAAAACCACTCACAACAACTTAGGTCAACCAAGAAATAAATAAATTACAATTGTTCGAGCAGATACAAGTCCTTCATACCAGCTAAAGAATCCATAACTTCTTCCCTATCGAAATCAAAATCAAGGATTCTAACAGTTTGTGCAAACCACGAAAATAGGAAAATGAAAAAATTGTTACCATTCTTGAGCAACAGTAGAAGCGTCGTCTTGTATTTGTTGTTGTCCACAAAGTTTAAATGATACCAGAAGCACCACACTGACGACGAACCATCGTTTGTGAAAGATTGGTCTTCGTCAAGCAGGTTGGTGAAGAAATCGGGTGAGAGAAGGAAGAAAATGAGGTAAGATTAAATGAATCGTTGGATATGCATTAAAAAGAGAGGGAAGCGAAAAAAAAAGACAGAATTGCCCCTCATGGAAGGGGAATGCACTTTCATTAACGGAGGGATTTAACAAGTCGTTAGTGAGAGGGACTCAATGAGTGCCTTAATGTCAACTAGGAGTACCATATATGTATTTATTTTGATTTGGAACCACTATATGTAGAAAGTGTAAATCATAGGGACCAAACCCGTAATTTACTCAAAAGTTTAAGAGGTTTAAAATGTGAGTCGATTAAAATTCCCCTCATTCAATTGGAGTCGAAGGAAATAAAAATAATGGTTGTTACTAGAGGGGACGAAAATTATTGGATTTCCAAATATACGAGACAACTTTGATCATGTTTGGCAAACTAGTTGATAATTTAGCTTGTAGCTAATAAGCTAGCTTTTAGCTGATAGTTTAGGTGATAACAAATCATGTTTAGCTTAAACTAGTTGATAAACATGTAAAATTAATAAAAATGACATCTTGAAAAATTATTCCAAATTCGAATATTGCATAATATAATTTTAGAAATATCTATTAATATAATATGTTAATTAATACAAACAAGATATTAAAGAAAAATTAAATAATATAATATACTAATTAAAAGAATTTCAAATTGGATATATATATATATATATATATATTTGGATTTGTTAAAACCAGTTATAGAAAAAATCTATATTAATTTATGAGTTTAAATAACCATTACATATAATATGAATAAAAATAAAATTGGTCAACCTTACATATACTAAGTAATTAATAACTATATAAAAGTACAATTAATAATTAAGTTAAATATTTTATTAAAATCATTTAACACGGTTTATTATCTATGAAATAAAGAAGGTATAACTTAAATTTTTATGTAACTTACATAAACATTTTTAAATTTGTTATATTTGTTTTTTGATAACTAAATATAGAGAATAATAACTAAAAGAAAATAATATACAAGTAATTGATATGATTAATAATAATTCTAAATAATTAATAATTAATCTTAATGTATAACATATAATTAAAACTAATTAATTTTTCAATTAATAATAATTACTTTTTTTTATTATTTATTAATAGTTAATAGTCAATTTTTATTAAAGTTTATTTAAAATTAATAATAATAAATAACAATTAATATTAATAAGGAAAAAAGAACTCTTAAAATGTTACTCCAACTAGCTAATTATAAGATAACATATATCTATTCGAAAATATACTTAAAAAGTATATAAAATATCTTACAAGCTAGTTTATATTTACCAAACATAATTTTTATATAAATAAAATATTATGGTTTTTTATTATTGAAAATGACAAACATCAAGTAATTACAAGTACAAAATTTATCTATAGAAAATTAATTATATGAGTAAGGAGGTAACAACAAACATTATACCTTGTGGGACAAAGATGTATTACATTATAAAAATTGGAGTGGGGGAGGGGGCAAAAAAGACATTGTAAAGATTAGTAAGCCAAAAATGAAAATATTATTCATGAGAATGAAAAAGATTCTTGATATATTAACCAAACATTAACCAGCTATACTCGTTACAAGTTTATAGTACATTCTTAATTTCTAAGTGTTTTAATAGACCGTTTTATAGAACTTAATTTATAGGACCAAAATATAAAATGTTCTATCTAAAGGTATTGTAATAAGTTTATACGACATTTTTGAGCGTCTTAGCAAGTTTTCAAGGACGTTTCTAATACAAAGTGTCGTATTAGCAACTTTTATAGGACACTTTTGAGAAAATGTCCTATAAACTCAATTTTTTATAGGACACTTGTTTTTATAGGACATTTTTTCAAATAGTGTCCTATAAAGTTAATAATTGGACAATTTATATTAAAAGTGTCGTAAAAAACTTATTACGACATCAAAAAACGTCATATAAACTTATTAAAACACCTTTAGATAGGACACTTTGTTTTTTTGGTCCTATAAACTAAGTCCTATAAAGAGGTCTATTAGGACACTTAGAATTTGAGAGTGTCCTGTAAACCCGATTTTGTTGTAGTGAATACGAGATAAATTTAGACAAGAGGAATGAGTATTTTAACAACTTGACTTTAAAAAAACACCAACATGAGTCATGTCTCTTGCACCTAATGAGTAGAAAGATGCAGAGTGAGACAGAGCCTTTACTATATAAAACTAACTTCTTCCAAGCTTCAATCTACATCTCCCCATGACTACCACAACCACAAGCATCTCTCTCTTCTTCCTTCTCTTTGCCCCAATCTCCCTGCAACTCCATGCCAGAGAAACCCAATTCTTCAGCAAGTTCAGCAACCATATCCCCATACAAGATGAACTCCTTCCCACCACCATTCAACCACAACAACAAGACCAAAACTTCATCCCACAAACCACAGACTCCACTGGCTACGGCCTCTACGGCCACCTTCCGCCCTCAACCACCGCTCCTGCCACCACCGACCGTGGTGCTTATCACAACACCGTTGCTTACAGCAAGGATTCTTTCGACACTTCTACTGATGCACAGTATGCTATTGCTGGCAGAAACCAGTTTAACGGTGACAGAAGCATGTACATGAATCACGAGAAGCAAGACAAGTTCTACGGCCACCTTGATCCTTCCTTAACCACCACTCCTGCCGCCACCAACGGTGGTGCTTATGACAACCTCCCCACCACCCTTCCCGAAAACTATAATACGGTTGCTTACACCACCCCTATCCATAGCGAGAATTCTTATGAAACTACTGCCACAGAATATGACAACAAAGAGTACCAGTACAATGGTGACAGCAGAATGTACAACTCTAAGAAGCAGGGATCGGGTGACACTAGGGTTTTGGATTATGGAAAGTACAATCATGTCAGCGATATGTACAACACCGAGAAGCAGGGAATGAGTGATACGAGGTACATGGATAAGGGAAAGTACTATTATGACCTCAGTAGTGAAAGTTCCAATCCAAGAGTATTTGGTTCAAGGAATGGGTACAAGTACAACAACAGAGGGTATTATGGGAATGATGATAATTCATACCATAGGTACAACTCTAATGCAAGGTTCCAAGAGAACCAAGAAGATGTGTTCACTCCTTAATGCGTTCATTTTCTTTCTTACTTGTAATATTTATGAACTCTTTTATTTTTCATTTTCTAATTTCAAGAATAAATATTATTAAATTTAAAACAATATAATATTATAAAAAATAAAAAAATTAACCAATTTTTATATTGGATTACTTATAAAAATAAAAAAATTAAGGCAAAATGTATTATAGTGAAATATTTTGTTTAGTTTTAATTTGGACCACAACGAATATCATTTTGTAAGACATTTACTCTTTGAACCACCGTCTATCACTCCATCTTGTGAATCATCACAATATTTTAGGCATGAAAAATGTTGATTTTAACATAAGGTCAAATTCAAGTTTTTAGCACTTTAATGGTATAACGAAAAAAAAATTCTTGAGGTCAAAAGATATATAAATTTCCAAAAACATAAATATAAGTTGCAATTTATAACTATGACAAGTATTTAAATATTGTCTAGAAATATCTTTGTATTTAATGTATTAAAAATATATATCATGTTTTTTCCCCAAAGTTTAATAATAAGATTGGGCCAAAATTTTAAAATATTTGTCAAATCTTAAAGTAGAAATTTAAAAAAAAAGTATTATTGTACTTTTTGTAGTAATAAGGTTGAGAATATTGGGCTATTTATTAAACGTTTATTCAATAAGATGGTGTTTGATTCGCAGAATGTTTTTAGATTCAATGAAATCTCTTAAAGGAATTTGATTTTGAAGGAATTGGAATAAAATGTTTTCAGATTTGACCACCTGTTTGGCTGACAGGCATTGGAATGAAATCTGTTAAGAAACTAAATATAGCTTTAGATTTGGAATGAGATATTGGTAAATGACCAAAATGCCCTTTTGAAAATTTTATTTTTTTAAAACTAAAAATACTTTAATAAAATAATTATTTAATATGTAAAACAATATAAAATACACAACCCAAAATAACCATAAGCTAAACGACGTTACTAAATCAACGGTGGTCAGCGATGGTTCAGATCGGTGGTGGTTCACAGTCCGCAGTGGTTCAGATGACAGTGATCGGCAATGGTTCGGATCGATGGTGGTCTCCGGTGGTTCCGATGGTGGTCCCCGGTGGTTTAGATGGAGGTGGTCAATAGTGGTTCAGATGGACAATGGTTCAGATTGGCGATGGCGACGGTGGTTCAGATCGATGGTTGTTCAAATTGGTGGTGGTTGGCGGCGTCTGACAATGTTTTAAATCGGTGGTAGTCGCTGTTGGTCAGTAGCGATTCAGATCGGTGGTGGTCAGTGGTGCATCAGGTGGCGATGGTTGAATGTGGTTCAAATCGGTGATGGATCAAGTAGGTGATGGTCGGTGGTGGTTAGTGGTGCTTCAGGTGGCGATGGTCGAATGTGGTTCATATTGGCGATGGATCAAGTCGTTGATGGTCAGTGGTGGTTCATATCGGTAATGGATCAGGTAGGTGATGATCGGCAGTAGTTCAGATCAGTTGTAGTTGGCGATGATTCAGATTAATGGTGGTCCATTGTGATTTAGATGGTGATGGTCGACAGTGGTTCAGATCGGTGGTGGTCCATGGTGGTTTAGATGGCGGTGATCGACGGTGGTTCAGATCGATGGTGGATCAGATCATTGGTGGCCGGCGATGGCCGACGGTGGTGATCAGATGGCGATGGTCACCGGTGATTCAGATTAACGATGGTTGAAAGTGGTCGACGATCGTCATATTGGGTTTTATGAGATTATAGTATATTGGGTTAAGGACATATTTGCTATTATGAAAGAGAGAATTCCATTCCGTCAAAATACCATGTAGTTGGTAAGGAATATTAAATTCTTTTGTTTGTGGAATTTGTAGGATTTTGAAGATTCCTTTCGTGAAAATAAATGAACCACACGAGGGAATGAAATTTGGTCAATGAAATTCAACATTCCAATTTCAGCAGATTCCTTCAGAATATGCAAACCAAACGCCCCCTAAGTGTTCATCGGTTCATTTATCTTACTAAATGAATATTGCAAAGGTCGAGAATCTTGCTCGGTGTAGAATCTTATACGGTAAGTGAGGCTAACGACTCTTATCCGGTAAGTGCTTAACAGGTAGATTATTGCACACAATACTGTTTTTTGATGGACTGCAATATCTTACCCGGTAATTTTAGTTAAGTTGAGTGTTGACTCTTATTAGTTAACATTTTTTAGGTAAGTTTCAGAGTAAACGACCCTACTCAAGGAACACGGTAACAACTAACAAGCATTAACCACAAGAGTCAGGGGTTTTAGCGACGACCGTCGCTAAAAAGTTCATTTATTCTCAAAAACAATTTACAGAGACAATATGTCGTCATCATAGCTTATGATGAAATTTTTCGGTGCTAGAAACGCGTCGCTAAAACTCACTTTTCTTGTGTGGATTGATACCATTTTACCATTCAAATAAACATAAGTTTTAATAGAGGACATATCATGGATCTGTAAGCTTAACGTGGACGAACATGTTAGTAGACTTTTAGATGCATGGATTAATTCTACCCAAAACTATGTCGTCTTGTATATATAAATTCAGGGGTGGTTTACAAACGTTTATCCGATAAGTGTTTATCATGTCACATTACCTTATGAGATTAATATAATAAAAAACAAGAATCTTACCCAGTAAGAACAATGATAATGACCAAAGTTTTTTTTCGTAAATGAGGGTGACGACTCTTACCCAGTTAGCGTTTACCGAGTAAATTGTTGCGTACAATATCATTTTTATCGACTAAAAATATTACCAAATCGCTAGGTCCAGTCTGGTATGTGGTTTGAATGTTTTTGAGTGGTTTGAATCGAACCGACCGCCAAAAAATACACATGTATTATTCATATTTACTTTTATGGTCTAGTTAAAAAAGTTTATTTTTATGGTCTAGTTAAAAAAGTTTATTAAAGACATTATGTTCTTAGTTTTCATTTCTCAATTGACTCTGTTATCTAAAATTCTGTAATCTGTTAAAAATCAAATTCAAAATCATCCTTAGCCTTGTCAAAGGTTATTAATTACAACTATTTTTGGTGAATTTATTTTAACTTTTTTTTTATTTGCTCAATGTTTGTTTTTTATTTTAGAGATAGACATTTTTTATAATTCAATGTACTATTTTTGAATAGTATTATATTAATAGAATTTTTATTTTAGATATAGATGCCATATTTTTTTAGTTTAAAGTTCATAAGAGGCCTAAACAGTCTAAACCGGTCAGATTAGACCGTCTTTTTGTGGTCCGATTTAACTGATTTGATCATTTGTGATCAAACTGTTCGGTTTTAAAGGGGTGTTTGGGATTGCTTATTTAAAACAACTTATGTTTTTTTTTTGTAAAAGTGCTTATTAACTTATGTGGTATAAAATCGGAGTTTTGTAAAAAATGTTTGGATTAGCTTATAACGGTACCAAAAAACAATAAGCTGATAAGATGTTTTTTAGTGTTTGGCAAATTTTGTTTATATATGTAAAATAACGAAAAAAGACAATCTTCCATATTATTGACTTACGGGAGTGTTTGGGATTGCTTATTAACTTATTTGATTTTTTAACATGTAAAAATTTATTTTTCATCATTTATAATAATATGTTTGACAAAAATTTATATCAATAAGATTAATAATTAACAAACATTAATAAAACAAAATTAAAATGGTAAACTGATAATAAACAATTCTTTTTAAGTCATGAATGATTAACTTATCAAAAACTACTTATTATCAGTTTGACACCGATATAAACAATTATATTTTTTTTTTCATCCAAAAACTAACATTTAGCTCATCACAAATATCAAGCTAAAATAAATCAAAAAACACCTAAAATAAACAATCTCAAACACCCCTCAATTCTCTGAACACCCTTACCGTAAATATTTATTGAATAAAGGAAGTCACCGTCACTTGGGTGGTAAAGACTCGATTCTTACCATCTTCTAAATTCACCCCAATTATACTCTCTCTCTAAACCCTTTCTCTCTCTAAAAATCTGTTAATCCATTGCTCTGCATGGCGAATTCACTTCACTCCTAAAACACACATTCATTCATCCATTCTGTACACAGACCCTCTTCGAAATCGTCTAAATCCCTTGCTTTTGTGTAGTAATTTCACACTATAAACTCTTCTGCTGATTGATCTTCATCTGGGTAAGTTGTATTTCTTCGATTGCATTCTTTTACTCTTTTGAAAATACCAATTTTTAACTCTAAATCTGTTTCCCCCTTTTCAGTTTCTTGATTTCGATGGACCCCAACACTGCCCAAACTTCGTGAGCCATTCATCGTATTTTAGTATCCGTATCCGTCTGTAGATCGTTTAATCGTGTAATTTTGGGTTTTGCAGGCTGAATCGATGCATTCTTGATTACTTGAACAGGAGAGGGTTTGAACTAACAGCTGCTTGTTTTGAAATAGAAGCAAGACTCTGTGACGAACCTCCAGGTATATATATATATATATACACACACACACACATTTTCATACAGTTTCTTGGGAGCGATCTTTTTCTTTCACTTGGTGTTTTCTTGGTTAATCAGTGTGAAGAGACTAAAAGAATGGCATCTATGGCTTCATCGATTTCCATTATTTTTCTTGCATTTTACTTCTTGGATTCTTTTCATATAAAAAGATCAATTTGCGCAAAAAGTTGATTACCGGCAACTCCAACCCGCACCAGAGGAACCCGCCTCTGAGGAGACCAATGAGAGGGGCTTTTGGCACACACTAGACGCCACCCCCCTTTGCCGAATTAGACATGAGTTATCTGTTGTGTTTTAGTGTTTAGGACCTGTCAATTGGACATGATTTCACTCTCTTTTAGTGTCTTTACATTTGATACTTTGTGTATCACAGAAATGATGTGATTTTATGTGAATCTTTTTATAGCAAATGATGGTCAGAGTGGCAATGTAACAAGAAATCCGCAAACTCGAACACCCACAAATCAGCAATTGGCCTCCCAACAAACTTCCCATCGTCCGATACACAATGTTCCTATGCAACCTTTGAGCGATGATGAATCAAGCCTTAGACAATCTCATACAAGCAGCTGTAGCTCTAGGTGAATTTCTTAGCACTGATTCTTATTTCAGGGGTTGTTTGGTTCAGAGAGAGGAATGAAAATGGGAATATGAATTTATGTTCCCCCAGTTTAACCTGAAATGAAAATTTGGGCTTCTGAGGTAGGGGATTGGACCCATCATATTATATAAAACCAAACAGTTTCTTTTATTTTCGCAGAATGCATCTTTCCCGGCCTCTCAATGTGGCTCAACAGAGTGCAGTGCAGGATGATCAACAGAAGGGAACATCGAGCGTACCAGAGAAGGTTTTTAGGAGGGAAAGTAGACAACATCAAACAACGGGCCAGCTGAGATTGAAGCCAAAATCGAATAAGGTTCGTTGCAGTTACTTATATATTTCTTGGTTGTCCTTTATTTCATCTTCCATCCTGCGTTTCCTTGCAACATTCATCGTGGTTTCCTTTTTTTTGTTGTAGGGTGGTGAAGTTGCTAAAGATCATCCTTCTCGAGATAAAAATGTCGCAAAAGGTACAATCCAAATAACTATTAATGAATCAAAATACCACTTGATTATTATTGAAAAGATAAAGAGGGATCTTATGATGAAAATATGGTTAATATTGAAGGAGGTTTATCGTTTAAGGAAGTCGAGACCTTCTTCACAAGCAACGACATTGTTTTGTGCTGCCATTTCTCTTCGGATGGAAAGCTTTTAGCAACTGCTGGAAATGATAAAATGGTTCGTCAAAACTTCATTCATTCATGTTTTATAAATCAAAGTTCCATTCGAGATCGATAAAATGGTCGCATTTCCACCAGGTCTCAGTTTGGAATGTGGAATCTCTGTGTCATTTGGGTAATACTCCACAACAATCCAATATGATCACAGATGTTCGGTTTATGCCACATTCAACCGTTTTTGCAACATCTTCTTTTGACACAACCATTCGGCTATGGGATGCAGCCAATGTAAGAATCAACTTTCTACCTTTTTCATGCTTAATCTTGTGATCAACTCAATAAATTCCCGTGCTAACATAGATTAGCAAGTTCTTGGTGGAACTTCATGGGCATGCGGATCGAGTGATATCTGTGGATTTCAATCCACACGAGCGAGAGATTGTTTGCTCGTGTGACTGTAACGGGGAGATACGCTTGTGGAACATCAATGAGCGTGCATCTATTTCTATATACAAGGTCAGTTTTACACATTTTGAACAGAATCATACTATCTATATATAGCCCACTTGGAAGTGAAGTCTGGGAGATGAGATGTATGCTGGCCTGACCTCTGGCACGAAGCGTAGAACTGTCTGTTTCTATGAAGTGTAACATGGGCATTCTTTCTTTTTTGTGGTAAAATAGGTGGATGTAGGTATGGGGCAAATTAGGTTCCAGTTCAGGAATCTGTTAGCTGTTGCTTCAGGGAACATGATCCTTATGATTGATATCGAAACCGATAAAAAAGAACGGTTACAGGTATGAATACTACTTCCTTCTTCCAATCCCATGAACGTTGCATCGTCTTAATTGCAAAATATGTCGTTAAAGGGACATGCTAGAGACATTCAGTCGATTTGCTGGGACCAAAGTGGTCGTTACCTTGCGTCTGTGAGCGAAGACAGTGCCCGGGTCTGGTCGACGAAATCGGGTTGGAAATGTGACTACGAATTGTATTCAACTGAGAACATGTTTAAATCTTGCACATTTCATCCAGTCCATTCTCTACTCTTGGTCATTGGTGGTTTTCAGGTATTTTTATCTTTTCTTCACTAGATTCTCACATCGGCTAGAGCTACTTACCGGTAATAGTCACCACCCTCACTTAGGGCATGTTTGTTCGCAGCTTAAAGAGCTTAATGGGACTCACAACTTATTCGATCACCTACTGTTTGGTAGTGGCTTAACGATATAGAAAGTGACTTATTTAGTAAGCTTCTAGGGGGGCTTTATGCAGAAAGCCAAGTTTTTTTTTTTTCAAACTTTCCCTTCCCAATTTAAAAACATGTTCATTCCATTTATAAAACCCACCCAAACAAAAACCTTCCGGGTCCATACAAACAACTTTATCCATACAGGACTTAATATAAACCAACCAAACAGCTCCTTAGTCTACTGGGTTAATTTTCTCGGCCATCAAAATGGCAATAGTAAGATTATTGGTAAATATATACTAACGGTGTATAAGAGTCATCACAATCACTTACTGGATAAAGATTATTTGTCTTTGCAATGTCTTTTACCTGGTAATATCCTTGTTCTTTGTCATGCTCACCTGGTAAGTGCTTACCGAGATTTTTGTGTACAATATGCAAATTTTTGAATGGATTATTGAAATTGTGTGGCAGATCTTCGAATTCTGGGATTGTGTTAAAGGTAGTAAAACACGAAGCATACAACTACACTCAGGAATCATATCGTCCTTGACCTATTCACCGGAAGCCGGATTGATTGCATCAACAAGTAACGACGGCCATATCAGATTATGGAGATGATATTCAGATTCAAATCGAAAAACCAAAAACAAACGTGTAGAACTTAGTTGTGCATATACAATCGAGGATACCGTTTAGCATCCTCGTTTTAATGATCATTGATATACATGTTTGTAGCTTCGATGTTGGAAATCCGTAATTTACCGATGGTCAATTGGGTCTAAAGCTCGGGATTGGACCGAGGCCGAGGCCAACATGAATACCGACCCTGGGATCATTCATCTTTAACAGATCCTTTAGAATATCTTTAAAATAGAAAAGAAAAGACAAAAAATCTTTAAAATGAATTATATTCAACTCCAACAGATTTTCTATTACAGAGATTTCATCATTAATTATATTATTTAAATATTCTATAATTTCTATGAAACAACTGGTTAAGTGATCGGTTAATACATTGAAGGACCAATTAGCAGGATCTTAACCTTTCTAAGAATTATTTATAATTATTGAAATAGACTTGGGATCACATGAAACCAGTCTGTTTTCGTGGGACCAGTGGGATCACTTTTATACATTTGAAACTTCACAGTAAACCATTGTGAAGGTAACATCCACAGTGTTTTTGCTGCGAAGGTTCGGAATTTTTTTTACCTTCACAGTGTTTCGCTGTGAAGTTTCAACCGTAAAAAAGTGGTTTCAAAAGTTTCACGAAAATAATATGAATTAAATTATATTACAAGTATTTATACCCAAATAATAAAATTATGTTTGTTTGGAGTTAACAACGAATTTTTTAGAATATACACACAACTATCTAAGTTATATATTTACTTTTGCATTAATAGTTTTATAAAATTCATGCTGATCATACGAGAATAATAACTAAATAAGTGAACATGAAAAACGATTGAATCACATGTAATTTTGTACTAACATGATGTGTAAAATCACATGTGATTCACACGACTTAGACCATGACCTGAGGTTGCGGGCCAATTCGCCCGTACACCCTTGTGTTGACCGTGTTCCCTAATCGCATGCAAAATCACATGTGATTTGACCATTTATTTGTTTACTTGCAATTGACAATATTCTCGTTTGATCCTTCCCTCTCTCTCTCTCTCTATATATATATATAGAGAGAGAGAGAGAGAGAGAGAGAAAGAGAGAGAGAGGAGAGGGAAAGATGGCAAATCAAATATATATATAGAGGGCAAATCAAACACAAACCCAATAAATATTACAAGCTTACAAACAGGTTTTTGTGTATTATTCATATATGAAAAAAAAAAATAATGCGAGACATCCGGTGTTCATATGGTGTTGTTTCATATATGAAATATTCTAGATTTTTTTACGTGTGAAAATATGTGAAAACATGTTTATATATGAAACACGTACACAATAACAAAACATATGAAACAATATTAATTAGAGGTTTGTTACATTTATTGGGTTTGTATTTGATTATTGATATAAATAATACATTTACACATGCTATATGATGCATATATGGAGGTGGTTTCAAATACAAACCATATAATTCTTGTAAATCATACAAACCATAATCAATACTTATATTAGGAAACACTTGAGATGTTTTTAGACAAACGAACCGTAAATTCGATTGTTTTTTCCTTGAACAGTTCTTTCAAAAAACGGGATAATAACAGAGTTTTTAGGAGCTACTTTAGGACTAATTCCTAGAAATTGGGAAGCGTTGAGAAGAAAAAAAGAAAAGGATTCTATAATCAACAATCTATCTGTTTTACGTCAAACACTCTATCTGCTTCACTCTTAGATCCATTATTCAGACAACTAACTCAAATCCATTATCAAATTCTACTCAACGCATGGTAAAAAATTTCTTTGCCAAGGAGAAGACGTGGGTTCACTACAAAAATGCAGAGTATCAGCGAGAGAAATTTCCCTCCCAAATCCGTCGCTAAAAGGGTGACCCGTCGCTGATACTTCGTCGGTCAAATGCTCGTAAGTAATGCTATCAGCGACGGATTTGCGAGGAATACTTTCAGCGACGGATCAGCGAGGGAATAGATTCAGCGACGGATCAGTGAAGGAACTTTCAGCGAGGGAACTTCCAGCGATGGATCAACGAGGGAACTTTCAGCGACTTTCAGCGACGGATTTTCCCTCTCTTATCCGTCACTAATTTGTATTAATCTAAAAATAAATTTTTTGAAATTACATAATTTATGTATTTATTTATACAAAACTTGACCATAATATAACAAACCAAAACTGTGAACAAATTAAAACTAACCAATTCATACAATTTAAAATATCTAATTCATACAATTTAATCTTCAAATTCATACAATCTAACTACCGGGAGGTGAGGGAGGGGGAAAAGGTATCTGACTGCCGCATAAACGCAACAAAATGCTCCGATAAGGCGGCCTGTTCGGCTAAGGTAGCAGCTTGTCTGGCCTATTCGGCTGACGAGGCAGCTTGTCTGGCCTCTAAATCTACCATATTCTTCCGTTCAGTCTCCAGTTCCTCCTCTATCCTTGCCAACTTCTCTCTCAACTCCATTATCTGTAAATATTCAATATTCGACAAAATCAGTAGTTTGTTCGCAATTTTAGTAATGAGAAAGTTTATAACAATATAACCAACATACCTCCACTCTTGACTCGTATGATGACTCGGTCCTACTGCTACATCTACCCATCATAGCATAAGAGGGATCCTGGGTGGTCCCGAAACCAAAGATGCGACCTTTCCTCTGTCCTCCGACACTCTGCTCCCAAAGAGATGCCTCATCAGGGGAAAGGCTGTCGGTAGTAGACTGTGACTCACCCCTAAGCGATTGAAATTGCTCCTATGGCTCACTAAAACAAAAACAGGTGAGGTTATATATGTAGAAATTTTCGCAGTATAACGGCTGTAAATCAAACATAACCAATGCCTATTTTTAACAATTAAAGCATTCTAATAAAACCAATGGTAGTCACATTCTCAACCTATCTACTTAGTCTAACGTCTACCCAACAATGGCAGCCCAAACTAATAGTATCACTATGTTTATTAAAATATATTACCTTAAACCTTCCAAATGTATCTATTAACCAAAGTAATGGTTTTAGAAAACTTACATGATACCTAGCAGCTTTGGGGTAACTGAACTGAGGAGAATCGGTAGGCGGATCGAACGAACCTTGATCGAACTTTCATTTCGTGCAATGAGTGTGCTCAAACACCTCAGTAGCAGTCGGCTCACGACCCATTACTTTTGCCTACATTAGACAATTAGGTTAAGTTGTTAGTAAACATAAAGAACGAATTACATTTTCAAAAAAAATTATATACTCACCATCCTGTCTCGATGTTGTACAGTACTAATCAATCACCCAGTGTGTCTGGACGACGCTCCCTTGAATTGTGTGTTCCGATTAGCCCTATTGATCCTGGATTTCCTTTTCCAACGCTTGGTATCCCAAACCTTTTAAAACAGAGCACATATATAAGGCGGTACAAAACACATGGCAGTTCAAAAAGCTCGCAATAGAGATACATACCTGGTTACTCATCTGAAGCCAAAACCTCTCTGGGACCCATACAAGAGGGTGTAATCTAATCTGTGAGAAGTCCTCACCGTCCCATTGTTGAGCACTGAGATAGGCTTGTGCCATGACCCAGTAACGTGCAGTGCTCATCCAATCCGAGTACCTATAATGCATGGCTTTGGTCCATAAATCATGAACCATGCCATCCAGCTCTGGTTCCCACTATAACTTAGCCTACATACACAATATATGTATAAATGTAAAAATAGTAACCTTATATGTATAATTACATTAAAATGGTACACCAACCCGAAAGCGTTGGAACATCAAGTCGCGTGCTTCCTGAGGTACTTCATTCCATATATGCCACGGAGTAGGAAAGGAAGACCTGAATATAGCCCTCATCTCCTGGATAACATGGGCATATTTAAACTTGTACAATTAAAAAAAATATTTACAACACAAATGACATTCATATCATTTTATTATGTAATACAAAGTCTTATACCACATCTACTTACCCATTGCCTAACAAAGAGAGATGTCTTCGTTGGCTCGGATGACTCAGTGTTGGCATCTCATTGTTGGGGCCTCTCCCCGACCCCGAACCTGTTGAAGTTGGGGGCTCCATGGCCACCTCTTGTTCATCTAAATCCCAGAGGACAGCCTCTGTGAACTCAACAATGTCATTGGCGCGCTGGTCGCCATGCCCGCCAGCAGAGTTGCTGCCCCTACCAGACATGGGGTTGCCGCGACTACCTTGATGACCTCTACCACGCTCTCGGCGTGACATCTCCTGAAACAAAAAATATTAAATTATATCATGAAAAAATATAATGATAAATCGTGATTATGTGTATAATTGTGAAATAAGCATACAAAAGACAAGGTACTCATCAGAAGAATGATCAGATAACATCGGTTCATCTTCATCATTTGATCATCATCTATGTCTTCAAATTCTGGTTCATCATCGCTATCTTCATTTCCCGGCATATCGTCTCTATTATCGTCCGATTCATCACCACCTTCATCTTCATTAATATTATGAAGTATATGTACCTCCCCTGTGGCAAGACGAATATCATCGAACTCGTTTCCCAATGCGAACTTTGTATGAGTTACCCTTTCGTTGATTTGAAAGAATTTTATCCATCGATATGATCATTGTTTTCAACATCGTTAATCATGTCAGACACTTCATATATGCCACGAGCTTTTGTCTTGAAAACTGCGCACCAATCTTTCAAATCTTTTGTCAGAAGGATATGAAGTATAGTATACTTGTTCTGCCTGTGATGCTAGAACGRACGGGTCGTCAGATCCAAGTCTAGACTTATATTTGATATCTACCAAATTGTGTTTAGGGTCAACTCTAACCCCCGAGGCAGTATCAAACCAAGTGCATTTGAACATGACAACCACTTGTCGTACTGAGCCTCGTGACACATATACCACCTCTATAACATTATCTAACATTCATATAAGTCAGACTCACACTCGTCATAGCAAACCCCTTTGACGATTTGTCTGTTTATTAGATCATAAAGTAAATTATGATTTTTGGTTTTTCTTTTTCCATTTTTGTCTTTTTTATTCTATTAAAGATACTTGATGATGCATTTAAAATAAGTTAAGTATTGAATATGCTAAATTTTTATTCAGTTTATCCAATATCTATCTGTAAATCTGTCTATACTAATAAAAAAAATATTTACTAGTTTAAGTTGATATTTAGCCAAATAATTTTTAGTCAAC